CCTGTCACTTCCTGCCCTTGTCAACAGTCCCTCTCCAGCTTTCCTGGAGCCTCCAAGTCCTTCTCCTTAGGGTTGCTCTCACTCTATGAAAGACTTTCGAGAGCTGTTGTAACTAGCCTGGAAGAGAAAGTACCCCCCGCCGGCACCTTCCCCATAGACTGGTTTTCTGAGGAGAAAAGATAGAGTGTAATTATTAATCATTTGTAAGAGATGGCTCCCCAGGTATGGGCATGACAGCAATGCCGAGTACCAACACCAGCTTATCTTCATGACCAGCGATGTTATCATGTCATTAGTCGATATTACACAGTATAGCAAAAAGAGAATCCTGACCCCTCTGCAGAGGTGATAAACAGCGCCACAGGGAATACATGCAGCAAGCACGCGTTTACACACCACAGCCATGAGAATGAAGAAAACACCATTGTGTCCAGCGACTATTTAACTAATATAAGAAATGCCTATAACAACTTTGTTTTAACATGCTCTGGTCAGATCTATCATTATCTGAACCCTTCCGGCCCCACAATGGGCGCCAAAAAGGATTGTCGTGGTTCAGCCCCAGCTGGTAGCTGAGCACCACCTGGCTGCTCACAAACTCCTCCCCTTGTCAGGATGGGGAGGAGAATTCGGAGAAAAAGTAAAACTCATGGGTTCGAATAAAGACAGTTTAATAGGACAACAAAGGAAGAGAAAATAATAATGATAATGATAAAGGAATATAGAAAACGAGAGATGCACAATGCAATTGCTCACCACCTGCTGACCAATGCCCAGCCCATCCCTGAGTAGCAATCACACCCCCGGCCATCTCCCCCCCAGTTGATATACTGAGCACAACACCATATGGTATGGAATATCCCTTTGGCCAGTCTGGGTCACCTGTCCTGTCCGTGTTCCCTCCCGTCCTCTGGTGCACCCTCAGCCTCCTCGCTGGTGGGGCAGTGGGAGAAGCTGAAAAGTCCTTGACCTGGTAAACACTGCTGAGCAACAACCAAAACAGCAGTCTGTTATCATCCCAAATCCAAAACACAGCTCTAGACCCACTACCACGAGGAAAATTAACTCTATCCCAGCTGAAACCAGGACATCTCCCCACAGTCCCTGGCACCCCGCAGCCCCTCAACAGCAGTTTCAGGTGGTGCTGGGCTGCGGAGGTGGCCCCAGGGTGGGGGTGCCGTGGTGTACTGGTAAGCCAGCATGATCCCCTTGTCCTGAAACCGCTTCTCGCACTGGCCGCACCGGAACGGCTTGTCCTCTGCCCACTACTCCACCAGGGATGGACCTCCCAGTCTCCTACCCTCTGCCCTCTGGCACTGTTGGCAGGCTCCGATGAATCTGCTGGTGCCTCTCCAAGTTACGCTTCTGGCTGAGGGTCTTGCCGCACTCGCTGCACTTGTAGGGCTTCTCACCAGTGTGGACCCGCTGGTGTACAGTGAGGCTACCGCTGTCCATGAAGGCCTTGGGGCAGTGGGCGCAGGCAAAGGGACGTTCCCCAGAATGGATGCGCTCGTGGACGATGAGAGTCTTCTTGTCCCTGAAAGCTTTGGGACAGTGAGCGCAGACAAAGGGGCGCTCCCCAGTGTGGATGCGCTGGTGAACAGTGAGGGGCTTCTTCTCCCTAAAAGCCTTGGAGCAGTGGGGGCAGGCAAAGGGGCGCTCCCTGGTGTGGACCCGCTGGTGGGCAGCGAGGGTTTTCTTGTACATGAAGGCCTTGGGACAGTGGGCGCAGGCGAAGGGGCGCTCCCTGGTGTGGACCCGCTGGTGGGCTGTGAGGGTTGTCTTGTCCCTGAAGGCCTTGGGGCACTGTGGACAGGGAAAGGGGCGCTCACTGGTGTGGACCCGCTGGTGAACAGCGAGGGTACTGCTGTCCCTGAAGGCCTTGGGGCAGTGGGCACAGGCAAAGGGTCGCTCCCCGGTGTGGATGCGCTGGTGGATGACGAGGGTCTTCTTGTCCCTGAAGGCCTTGGGGCACTGGTCGCAGGCAAAGGGGCGTTCACCAGTGTGGAGGAGCTGGTGGGCCATGAGGGTCTTCTTGTACCTGAACGCCTTGGGGCAGTGGGCACAGGCAAAGGGGTGCTCCCCATTGTGGATCAGCTGGTGGGCGATGAGGGTCTTCTTGTACCTGAAGGCCTTGGGGCAGTGGGTGCAGGCAAAGGGACGATCCCCAGTGTGGATGTGCTGGTGGGCAGTGAGGCTACTGCTGTCCCGGAAGGAACTGGGGCACTGGGCGCAGGTGAAGGGTCGCTCCCCGGTGTGGGTGCGCTGGTGGATGACCAGGTAACAACTATCACTGAAGCGGTGGCCGCAGTCGCTGCAGGCAAAGGGCTTCGCACCGGTGTGCACGTGCCGGTGTCTCAGCAGGTGATGCTTGTAGCTGAAACGCTTCCCACAGTCGGTGCAGAGGAAGGGCCGCTCACCCGTGTGGCTCCGCATGTGGACAGCCAACGCCGACTGGCTCCTGAAGCTCTTGTTGCACTCCGAACATGTGGGGGGGGTCTTCTTCAGTGGCCGGGGTGTTGGGAGGGAGGAACCCCCCTGGCTCCTGCCTGGCTGGTTGTGGGCTGAGTACCCCCGACGCCTCCTGCCCCGCTTGGGCATCCCCGGGAGCAGGGTGGTGGGTACCAGCGGCCCCTCGGGGACCCCCCCGGCCTCCCTCTGCGTCCCAGGGTCGCCAGCTGCTGGGGAGAAGAGGCTGGGGTCACTGCCGGGGACTGGATGGGCACGTGGGACCCCTCCCCATGGCCAGCGGCACGGGCACCCCGCCAACACCCACCCTTCCTGCTGCACAGAGCATCTGGGGCCCAGGGGACGCTGCTGCTGGAACCCCCCAGAACCCTCACAGCCCCCTGGTACCAACCTGAGACAGGGGTCCGGTGGCTCCGCCGTGTCCTGGGGGGGTCTGGCACACACGGCAGCTCTGCTCGCTCCATCTGGCAGGTGATGCCCAGCCTGTCCGGGGCAGAGAGAGAGGCACCCTCTCCCGCACTGCCGGGACAGCATCGCCGGACCCCGCCACCCGCAGCCCCAGCATCTCCCCCCAACTCTGCTCCTCTCTCCTGTCCCTGCCCGTCTACAGCTTCGGCCCCCCCGTCCCTGCACCTACAGCCTCCTCTCGCCTTGTCCTCGGTCACCTCGTCCGCTTGCCTGCTGACAGCGCCTGGGAATGGTTCATCGCTGCGCCAGGGAGGCTTTGGTCAGCCAGGAACTCTGGTCAGCCCTGAAGGGGTCAGGCAGCGGGACTAGATGGTTGTGGTAGGTCCCTTCCAAATGAAATAGTCCAGTTCTGTTCTGTTCTGTTCTATCCTATCCTA